ATAGGGGGCGGGGGAATTGTGTGAGTTAAACCGAAAGCCAAGGTTGGTGCTGGATGTTAGAAATCATTGCCTGGTTTGAAAGTGACTTTAGGAAGGTGTGTTGGAAGGACCCCCCTGTTGAGGAAGGGCAATGTGAGGTCCTGCAGCTTGAGAATTGCTTAGGTGTGTAAGCAGTGTGAGAAAATAACCACTGACCCGATCAGCTTTTGTATGAACGTTGAGGTCACTGAGTGGTCTATAAATCTATTATGGACAAGAGAGTCATTGCAAGTTGCAATCATCTGGGAAAGAAGCAGATCCTCCAATAGAAAACAGATTGGGAGAGAGGCCTTGGGAATGTTGGCAGACAAGGACAGTCCCTATTTCTCTAGAGAGTCCGGACCGCGCTCTCTGCTCTCGACGTGGGAGAGGTGTGTAGGCACACCCTCAGACAGCAGAACTGTCCTGAGGCAGGCTAGAAGACTAGAAGACGGCTCCTCTCATGGAAAGTAAAATGAAAAATCACAAGCCATCTTTTAGATGACCTAGTTTCATGTTATTTTCTGCTTACATTTTGTTTATCTCATTGTCCTTTTAGAAGTTACTGCAAATATTACAGCCTTATCAGGTTAGAGGTTTAGAAGCTCCGAGGGAACTAGTAAGCGAAAAGTCATGAATCCACAATGGACCAGTGGTTAAAGGGACACAGCCTCCTCAGCCCCCACCCCATTGTAAAGCTTGGGGAGGCATCAGGAACGCCAAGGGTAAAAAGTCAAGGCTAGGTGGTTCTGTCACCTTTTCCCACAAGAAGACCCTCTTTCTACCATCAGTCTTGGAAGATTCTGGATGTTGTGGTCACTAAAGGAGGTGGTCAGTTTCTTACTTTAGGACAAGGTTCAACCACTATCAAAATATTTAACCTTTTAGAGTCATGTTTTTCTTTCTATTTATTTCTACCCTGCCCTGTTTCAAAAAAAATTTAATCTTGTTTACAAAACCACACAAATGAAGTTAAACAACATACATTAGAATACCACAAGAAAGGTGAGGCAGAGGAAAAACAAGGGCAGGGACTGGAAAGTGTGCGAAGAGTAGAGACCAGCAGGCTGTTAGGTTCCAAAGATACATTGGGCTTTGGCGTGTTGGACTCCCTAAAACTTGCTGAAGCTGTTAAACCAGTGTTGTGTTTTCATTCCCCAGAATCCTACCATTGTTAGGGACAAAGCCCAGTGGAACAATCGAGTCCAGATTCACGGGCTAGAAGGAGACCTCTGACCTAATTCAGTGCCCGAACCGGCGTCGCGAGCACCACAGCTGACCCACTGGTCCTTATGTATGCTTTCTGGAACCTGAACTTACTGGATACAAGCCTGTAATTGAAAAATACATGTAAGGAGATATTTTCCCAGTGTTCGGTCTGTTGTGCTGCGCCGTCTCAGACTCCTAAGAGCAGTCTGAGCTTTCTAAGGAAAAGGGGATCTTAGAAGCAGCAGGAGCAGGCAAAGCCATGGCAGCAAATACCCCCTCCCCCAAAAACACGCGCGCGCGCGCGCGCGCGCGCACACACACACACACACACACATACAGCTGGGTAGAAGGCGGGTCAGCCTGGCTGATGTTGGGGTGTGTAAGAATTTCTTTGCCCCTCCCAGACAGGCTGTTGGTGGCCACCACCCAGGACTTCACCTGAGCCACATTCCAAACACATTTGGGATACCAGCGCACGTGGGAAACACACACAAGAGCAGATCCCAGCCCTCCCGCCTCCTCCGCCCTGGCGGAGGCAAAGGGAGGGAGCTACCAGGGTAGAGGTGCCTCACTGCTCAAGCTCGGGTTTCTTCTTCTCGGCTCCCAAGTTTGCTCAACAGCACCGCCTGCTGTCTCAAAATCAGAGATCCGGAGAACGCCCATGCATGTGCCAGGCTCACCGGTTCACATCCTCACCGTCCCTGAAAGTCAGAAAAGGCAGTGAGGGAGGGCAGGACATCCTACCGACCGGCTGATGCCCTCTCCTCCAAGGTCCCACCTACCCCACTCCAGCCCCCCTCCATTCAACGACGAGTTGCCCACAGCTTTATGCTAATTCCCCCCCAACATCAGTGATCCCTCCACAACCAGCTTCCCACTGACAGAACAGGTCCTGAACCTAAATTCTGCCATTGAGCCTCTGCACATCCTGATTGGAAGGGGTCCGGTCTGCTCGGGGTCTGTAGAATAAACCCTTAAAACTTCTCATAGAGGACATTCTGCTCCGTCATTTTTTTTAAATTGTGGTAAAACACACATAACATAGAATTTACATTGTTAAGTGTCCAGTTAAGTACTGTTAAGTAATTCACATTCTTGTGCAACCAGTCTCCAAAAACTCGTTTCATCTAAATCCGGTCTCATGGGCAGTACCATCCCCCCCCACCCCACCCCACCCCCGCCCCAGTTCTGACCATTGCCTTTCTCATGGCTCAAGTTCTTGATTGCCACACATTTTTTGCTCTGACACTGTGAATCCCTGTGGAGCTCACAAAATAGAGCCCATTAGCTCAGCCGTTTCTCATGTCCCCACAGGCTGTCTGTAAACACTGGTTTGTTTAGTTTTTGTCTCCCCCCCCCGCCCCCGCCCTCCTTAAAGCAGTTTTTATTTCCTGGTTTTGGCACCTCCTGAGAAAGAGAAGGAAGAAAAATGGACAATAGTTGAGGTTTGCTTGTTTTTTTGCAGCAGCTGCTGCAGCTGTGAGGCACTGACCAGGAAAGGTCTGAAGAGCTGTCATCTGAGCTGCCTGCATCTCAAGGACCCTTAGGGGGGACTGGACAGGCTTCAATGAGCGCTAGACCCCCGAAAGTGTGTGCAAATTTCATGTGCATGTGGGAATATATATTTTCCTAGGAAGACATTCTCTATCTTTCCTTAGATTCTCAAGGGTGTCCCTGACCCAGAGAAAGCTAAGATCTCTGCAGGCACCCTTGGAGATTAGCATCTGGGGCTTTCATGTATGTATCCAGATCCTTTCTCAGATAATCAAAGCCTGTGAACTGCATGGTGTTCAACAGTCTCCCTGCCTCGCATGTGACCACAGCTGTGGACCGGGTGAGCGAGGACAACAGAGTGGCAAGGACATCAGAGGAGGAAAATTGCAGCCAAGAGCTAGGAAGAAAGATCGAAGTGGAATCATGAGGGAAAGGCTATAAATCTGCAGACATTCTTGGGAAGCCAGAGACATGAGGAGGCCGCACAGAAAGTAATTCACATTCTTGTGCAACCGGCCTCCCAAAACTCTTTTCATCTGAACCCCAGTAATGCTTTCAACCTCACTCTCCCTCCAGTTCTCACCATTTCCCTTCTCATATCTCAAGTCCTTCTTGATTGCCGTACTTTTTTTTTCACCGACACCACGAATCCTTGTGGAGCCTTTCATTACCCATTCTGGCCTTGGGCAACTCCTTTGAGTTCTCTCCTAGGGACCTGAGTGGCCACGGAACTTTCCAGAAGACTTCTAATAATAACACTTCATTATTCTTTTTGCAGACATGATCTTACCACAGCCCATAAAAGTGGGTATTTCAATCCCCATTTTATAGAGGAAAAAATAGAGCTTGAAGGATAATGGGTAATTTTTGCAAAGTCAGATAAAGGCAGAGCACAGATTCAAACTCAGTTCTGCCTCACTCCAAAGTACGTTCCCCTAACCACAAAACTATCCTTTTGTGATCATTGGCCCTGGCTGGTGTGGCTCAGTGGACTGAGCGCCAGCCTGCGAACCAAAGGGTCACTGATTCGATTCCAGTCAGGGCACATGCCTGGGTTGCAGGCCAGGCCCCCATAGCGGGTGTGCGAGAGGCAACCACATATTGATGTATCTCTCCTTCTCTTTCTCCTTCCCTTCCCCTCTCTCTAAAAATAAATGAAATCTTGAAAAAATAACTTTAAAAAATTGTGATAAATTGGAGAAAAGCTCATTTTTCTTAAGTACAGGCATGCACCCTCCCTCTGCCCCATTCCATCCAAGGAAATCCATTGTCTTGGGAAACACTGAATAAGCTGCTCAGGTATGTGGAGGGGGCGGTGACACCCCCACAGAGTGTGCTCCCATAAAAAGAGGTGCTCTCTAAACTGCCTTCTAAGGGGCTTGAGTGGAAGGTAGAAGCCCAGGGCCTGAGCTGAATTGCTCAAGGCCATTAAGAAATTTGAGAGGTTGTAAACCTCTCAGAGGTAACAGGAAGAGGACGAAAATGCCAGCCAGGGACTTTGGGGGAATCATAGGGAGGTCTAGTGGGGATTTTACTAAGTATGCCATGTTGGATATTTCACTTCTCCATGTCCCATGACAGCTTCAGTTTTGTGATGTGAGATCAATGTTGGAGGAATGCAGGGACGTGCTGAGTTTGCTTCAAAGGGCGACAAAGAAGAGTCAAGACTGTGTTTGGGAGACCCACCTCCACTCAGCATCCCACGTCTATGGAGCTCCTGAGTGCCAGACCCCGTGTGAGGGCCCAGGAACACTGCCCTGCAGAGGTAGCTGACCTTTACGCTTCTAAGGGAGGATTCGGGAAAGAAGACTATACTTAGCTGCTGGCCCTATGCTGTGACAAACAGCAGGCTCCTGCGAAGCTGGGTAGACTGCCCTATTCCCAGAGACATTTTCTGTCTCTACTGTTGTATGGAGCAAAGAGTCCACTAATTAATAAAATACTATCACCGAAAATTTTGAGAAGCTATTAAGTGAGAGTCACAGGCTTAAAAAGTCCCCTGCCCTATTTTACATTAAATTCTCAACATCAGAGAATAACATAGAATAAATACAAAGCGTGGCAGGAGGTACAAAGGACACCAGAAAGACAGGATATAAGTTTTTGTAGAAGGGGAGACCTTACTTGGTAAGAGGGTTGGCTAACAGCCTCCCTACAGGACATATTTAAGCTAAGGGCTGAGACTCAGTGAGACAGAGCTAACCTCGGAGAAAGCAGAGGAAGGGTTATTGGCAGAAGAGACAGCAAGTGCAAAGGCACTGAGAAATTAAGACCTGCTTCTATTCGAGGAACTGGAAGAAGACCGGTGTGGCTGGAGTGTGATCAAGCCGGAAAACGGCACTTAAATCTGAACTCACAGTGTGGGGTGAGGGTCCCTGTGGCGCGTGCGCGGGAGAAGGGTAGACAAGAACACACGGTGTGGCTGCTCAGGAAAACCCTCGATACAGGACAGGATGAAAACCTCCAGGAAAGGCGAAGGCCCACTGGGAGCGCTCAAGAGCAGTTCCAAGTCCCCTCCATCCACCCCAGCCAACCTCTACCTCCTACTTGCCCAGGTCAGTGCCTAGGTATCGTCTTTGTGTCACCTCTGGGCTCCCTCCGACGCGGCAAGCTGGTCATTGGCCCCATAACCCCGACACCCGTGGTCAGAAGCAAGACCGTGGGTAGCACCGGGTCTCCGTGGTCCACTTGGTTCTGGAGGCGAACGCTTGGCCCGCCGCAGGACACCATTGTCGACTTGCCCCGCAGACGAAGCTGAGGCGCCCGCCGACCTGGGACGCCCCGCCCCCATCCTCCCCACCCTCCCCCACACATTTGAGGCCGACCCTGAAGCCATCTCTGCCCGCGAGGAGCCGAGAACAAGGTGTCCTGCAAGAAGGGCCATGATGCCCGGGTTTATGGTGCTTCCCCAGCCACCTGCCAACCAAGGCAGGTCTACCTACCTCCCCCCCGCCCCCGTCCATTTCCTTTTCATTTACTACTAGGTCCTTTGGGACCCACAACCGACGGAAAAGGGGAGAAGGCAGCCCAAGAAACGCGCTGCAAAGCGCGCACCCACATACTGCTGGGCTGGGGCGCCCGCTCCCACCAGTAGACACACGTCCCTGGGATCCCCTGGGACCCTCTGGAATCCCAGCGTGCCCACGCGAGGAGAACCTCCGAGTTGCCAGGCACCTACGAGGCGGGTGCACTCGATGACCCGAGACCCCAGAGGGCTGGGTGCGGCGCGGGGCGGGGCATCAGTCACTGCATTTTGGAATTTTTGCTACGGGGCAGGCGTTCTCCGCCCAAGGCACTTGAGGACGCCTGGGCCCGCTGAGTCCACGTCGGCCAGCCGTCAGCAACGACAGGGAGGAACCTGACTGTCACCGCAAAAGCGGACACGCGATGTCTCGGGCAGAAGCCGCCTGGGGCTCCGGCCGCGGCACCTGGCCTTTCTGCAGCCGCGCTGGCCCGCAACTACTCTGGTGCAGCTGGTGGCGCCGCACGTCCTTTCGCAAGGCTCTCCCAGTGGTCAGAAAGGCTGTCGAACAGTCCCTCCCTCCTGCCTGTTCCTTCATCTCCTTGTGATACCAGACCCACCGTGGGCAAGTTTTCCTCCGCGCGAAGAACAGTACCTGCTCCGCGGGGGCGCTGCTCTGCTGCTGTCCTTCCTCCGCGGGGCGCAGGCGGCACGCCCGGGCCGCGGCGCGCCGGACCCTGGGGGCGCCTCTGGGCCTGCTCTGGGTGTCTACTGCCTCTTTAGGGTTGGGTCCAAGAGCCCCTGAGGGATGAGAAGGAAGGGGTGATGGGAGCAGCCTGGGTGGAGGGAGGCGGCGCCGTAGTAGCCGAAGTCAGAGCACCAAGCACATCGACCCGTGCACCCCTTACCGTGGGCGTGGACTAGGTTGGTCAGGTTACTGATGCTCCCAAGACTATAAAGTGAAGATGAGAGTATTAATAACCTACCTCTCTGACCTGTTATGAGGATTGAATGAGATGATAAAGCTCTTAGAACAGCAGTACAGCTCAGCAACCGTTAGCTCTAGTAGTAATGACAGCCTGGATGGACCCCTCGGAAGAGTCAGGTGCTTTTGCTGGCAATTTACTCAGCCTAAGCTGCACGTCTCCAGTGTCCTAGACTGGTTTGCAAAGGAAGACAGGCACTCAGCATATTTTATCTTAGTGAAAGAGTTGGAAATAATGACCAGTCCAGTAGCAACCAGCACCTTAACAGCCCAGGCTGTCGCGTATAAATACATCTGCCAAGAGTGATTAGTGCTTTTTTGAGAAATGACTGATGCTAGGTCTGGGGCAGAAAATGTTCAAAATCTTCTTGGAACTTTTTCTCATGCCAGAAAGTAAAGAACCTATCAAAGAGTACTAGGGTTGTATGAAAAGATCTCACAAACTAATTTAAATGGGCTCCTGCAGCTCAAAGTTGAGATATTTAAGAATTTTTTATAATGTACTCAAGCAAGGTATTATAGTCAGACACACTTTTGAAAACTGTGATAATCTCTGAAGAATGTAACTTACTATTCACTTTATTTGTTTGTTTGTTTGTTTGTTTGTTTGTTTGGATAGAGGGGAAGGGAGGGAGGAAGAGAAGGAGAGAAACATCACATCCTCGCAGGGGAGAAAGCACAGAGCCCGCAACTCAGGCATGTACCCTGACCAGGACTTGAAGGGGCCACCTTTCGGTTCGGTTCGCAGGACACCCAACCGACTGAGCCATGCTGGCCAGGGCAAAGGTCAGACATTTCAAATAACAATAAGGACAAGGTTTACAGAAGAATAAATCATCAGCTCATTTTAAATTCATAAAGTTTTTTTTAACCTGGTAAATTAAAAGAAAGAATCGAGCATTAGCTATGCTTTTTCTATATAAAATCTACCCCACATTAAGCAAATCACAGTGAGGGGAAATTTCTATTTATAAAAGTATTCCAGCTATTAAGTGAATAAGGGATGTTAGAATTAGATTATCTGCCAGTCTGTCGCACAAATGAAATAATGGAGCTCAGCAGCAATCATCAACGGTGGCTGACATCGCAGCGAAAAACCAGCAGCCCATGCTTTCCCATGAAACACAACAGCGCCATCGGTGATGTAGCCTTACCGAGACAAAAAAGAAAAAGAAATGGAACCTGAATCTGATCAAGCCTCTAATTTAGATTTTTATTTTTTACAAAAATACAGAGACACGGAGGAACATGTTAATGATACCATGGGGATGAAATTAGCAAAATCCAGTCCGTGAGAAGCCTTATAGCACAAAAAATCCAGTTCCCCAGTTTTTAAAAATTGCACAAAAAAAAAAAAAAAAAAAAACCCAGAAGAGGAAGCTATAGGTTAAAAGAAACACAAAAGACAAAATAATTGTTTCAGCTATCTAAACTTGTGCAACAAATCACTTCTACACTTCCAATGTTGCTGTGAAAACAGCAGCAACATTAAATTTGTTCATGAATCTGTAATTTGGGAAGGGCTCTTCAGGACAACTCATCTTTCCTCCACCACAATGACATGAAGGTTGGGGACTGGAATTTCACCTCTATACAATCTGTGGGGACTTTTTATTACAGTCAGCCTTGAAAGGTCACGTTATAACTGTTTCATGTGACAAGGTTGTCTCCCAATTAAGCTTCTGGAGAAAAAGGACTGGATTATAGATGGTTTTTTTTTGCCTTCCCTTTGATGCCCAGATGCAATCGTCTGAATGTTTTTCCCTCCAATTCATATGTTACACTTATCACCAGTGTGATGGTATTTGCACATGGTTAGGTCATGAAGGTAGAACCCTCATGAATGGAATTAGTGCTCTCATAAAAGAAGCCCCAGAAAGATCCCTTACCCCTTCTGCCATGTGAAGTTACAGCTAGAAGATGCTGTTTGTGAATCACATGGCGGGCCTTCACCAGACACTGACTCTGTTGGCGCCTTGATCTTGGACCGCCGAGCCTCCAGAAACTGACAAATAAATTTCCGCTGTTCATAAACCACCCAGTCTGTAGTATTTTGTTATAGCAGCCCGAACAAACTAAGACACCAGATCAGGACCTTAACGTAGTGAGTGTTCAGTAAATATGAGATGGTATATTAAGGTAGACACTCCCTTTTTCTCTGGGCCTGTGCCCCTGCCTTTACTGAGGCCAGACCAATGTTTTATAAGTAGACAGAGAAAGAGACACACACAGTGCTTTGCAGAGAAATGAACTGTAGCAGTGAATAATCAGCACAGGATTTTTGCAGAGGATAAAGATTTTATTCTAACAAAAGGTCATTTACTTTTTGAAGACAGTTCTCTGAGGCCTTTGTGAAGAGGACAGCCTCGTTGATGCTTTCAGTGATGTAATCTATGTTGCAGGCATTGATGCAGGTGAAGTTAATCCGACTATTCTTGGGGATGTAGATATGTTTCTTCTTAACCAGGTATTCTACCTGTGAGTCTGGTGATAATCATAGGGTCTCAGATCCAGGGTGGCCACCTCTAAGTCCCCTCTAGCCCGAGGTGGGTTATGGGGGATAGGGAGTGTCAACATTTGGGGGGGGGGTGGATGAGGAATAGGGAGTCTTCAAAGCAGCTTCACTTTCTTCAAGAAAGAATCATAATCTGGTGTGAAGCTAGGAATTGGTGGCCTAGTCAATGGAATATAATGTTCAAATACAAGCCCAAGGTCAGAAGGGGGAGAGCTATGCTTTCCTAGACACTTACAGTCAAGTCCAAGATAGCTATGGGACCCACTCTGGTTGGTGATGTGATCCCAGGAGCCGGGCGTTCCCAGGAGCCGGAGCTTCTCCTTAACCTTTTCCTTGGTCAGCATGATGTTCTCTACAATCTCTTTCAGACTCTGTTTCCTGCCAAAGGAAGGACAGCGAGGAATTAACACGTGAGGTCTCCCTGTGCTCCCAACCTCCTCATTGCCCTTCGACTCCCCTTCCCTTCAAAAGCCCCCAACCAGAGTGCCTCGGGGCATGCTGGTGGAGCCAATGATCTGAGATGGTTATGAATAGGAGAAAAGTTTCAGCCTGTATTAATTCAAGCAAGCCAAGCACATTCTTAGCTGATTTTGCCAGAGTAGCAAGCCCTTGAAGCTTCCTAATCTCCTGCAGTCTGGAAGAGTTCACGTAATTTATCAGCCTGTGTCCCAAAAGAATGTCCTATTACCTACTCCTCTATAGGAGGGCAAATGTTGGCATAGCTACTGTCGTTGGAACACAGCGGGTCGTCAGTAAATGTTGATGAGTGAATGGAGTAAAGAGGCAACGCGGGGGGGGGGGGGCGGGAAGAGAAGCACCGGCAGGATCCTGTGAATCGGGAAGTCTGTGTGCATCCGCAGGCTCTGCCCATTCTCCCCTGCCCGACCCTTCGCCCTTACCAGGCTTCCTGCAGAGCAGGGTTGCAGAGGATGGATGTGACAATGCGAGCACCGGAGGTAGGAGGGTTTAGCCACAGGGCCAGGGCACAGTTCATCAGCTGGGAGAGGACGCACAGCAGGATCTGGTTGTTGAGTGCCACCACGACAAGGACCCCCACTCCTTCATCTGCAGCGTTGGGAGAAACGGCCTTGTCGGTCTCCTCTTCCCCTACCAGGGCTTTCCCCTGCAGCTCTGCCTCCGGCCTTGTGAAAGAGCAGGGTCACCTACAGGGCCCTCCTCCCAGCCCAGCCACGCTGGTCACCAGGCCCCAGGAAGTTGCCAGAGATTATTCTTCCAAAAAGAGTAGCTGTAAGTAAGAGTCTCAGAGATGGAAAGGAGTAGAAGGATAACTAATCTTAACCCCTCATTTTATGATGAGGAAACGAGGCCTAAGGAGGAAAACGATGTAACTGGAGCCAGTTTTACTAACTGAGCTAAGATGATACCAGGAACCCGACGTCTGCCTCTGCTCTCCGGTCTCCACATGGCTCTCTCTGGAGGCCGCGGCTCTCTCCACAGGGCAGGAGACGCCGAACGCCTCACTCCCTCCACGGGCATGGCACCCCTTTAGCACCAGACCTCCCTGCTCCTTCCGACCAACCATACCATAAATGCCAAAATTCCTGGACAGAGACTGGCTGCAGAAGAACTCAAAGCCTCCAGAAACAAAGTATTCTAAGAATCTAGTATCTTCTTCTGGGTCACCAGTGGATAAACCTTGATAGGAAATATCAAAAAATGGGAATATCTGCTTCTTCTGTAGGAGAAAGGAGAATGAAAAGAGGATGAGGCTGATGAAGGTGGTGGTAGATGGTGGGGGGGGGGAATCAGGCGAGACGCTGGGCTCACCTTCATGATGGCTATCAACTTTGGCCACTGACATTTTGTCAACTTGCAGTTGCCAATGTTCCCGATCACAAAGACACAGCCACGGGGGGCCTGCTGCAGATAGAGACTGTCTCATCAGGAGCTGCCCCTACCGAGGGGTAGCAGCACCAGGGTGTTTGGAGGAGAAGTAGTGGCCCTCCACGTTGGATCCTACCAAAGGACTTGACAAATCCAAGCCCCGAAAAGGCCTTGGATAACCAGAGGGGTGGGGAGGAAGGGAGAATAAAACTGTAAATCAGGGCCGGGGAGAAGATTCTGAGGGAGGCCCCTCTACCTTCACCACATTGAGGAGCACGTTGGGGTCCATGCACAGCTGCTTGGAGTCCCAGAAGCAGTGCTCATGAACAGTGAAGCCCATGTCCTGGAAGATGAGTCCATGGTGTTCTGTGGGAACACAGCCCCCCACCAGCAAGGGCATAAGGAATGGAGAGCGGGAGACAGACACACCAGAGAATGGGCCTGAGGGTCACTGGGCGAAAGGGGGGCGAGGACAGGAGAAGGACCAGCCTAATTTGGCTTGTCCACCATTTGTCATGGCAGAGAGCGAGAAGGACAACAATGAAGGTTGTAAATGGGGTGGGAATTAAGAACAAGGGACCCGCATCTTCTGTCACCCTCACCTGGTATAACACTCACCTTTTTTAGAAGAAACGATGTAAACTATTTGAGAATTCTGACGCCAAGTTTTGAGGAACTGGGCCCCAAGGTGGAAAGCACCACTGTCGCCAACAGTGTGTACACCCCCTACCTGCCAGCAAAAAATAGAGAGAAATAACGTTTTAAAAGAGTGAGGGTGACACCAGTACCACCTCGGATTCAGGTCCTTCGTTTGCAGCAGGAGCTTGCACATTAGCCGCCTGGGCTGGCACCAGGGGCACGGGCTTCGGGTTCTGATGCTCGCTCTGCCCTTCAGTGACAAGCTTTGGACTCCGTGAGCCTCAGGTGTCTCCTGTGTCCACACCAGGGGCCCTCCGCAGTCCCTTTCCGGTTCAAGGGTGCAGTCTCCGACCCCCACTTCCCGGGTTCTCCCCCTGTTCTCCCCTTCTTCTCACCCTGTTCTCCGCAATGGCTCGGCTGTGCTTCCCAAAGAGGAGCTCCACGCAGGCCTGGATGAACGATCTCATGCCCGTCACCGGCGTGTACTCGTAGTTCAGGGAGGGATCCTGTGCAATCTGCAGTCGGGTCTTGCGCACCACGGAAGACACCCAGGGCTGGCCCCCGCTGGTCATGCAGACTGTGAGAAGAACGGCAGAGGGCGCTCGGGAGGCGGGGCCTTGGGGCTCTGCTGACAGCCCACAAACACTTCATCTGTCCTGGCTTTCTTGGGGCTTTGGAAAGTCGCCTAGGAGAAGACAACTTTCCTTTTTTCCTCTCTTTTATAAAAACAGTGCGCTGTTAGTGACTCTGTATAATTTTTATCTTTTTAAAGAAGACAACAGAAACCTATGCCATTTTAAAGGGTAAAAATGATCTACAACCTGAGTTATAGTTACCTGAGATTCAACAAAGGTAACACTGACTTTCACAGTGGCAAGGGCTGGCTGTGCGTCAGAAGAGTCCATTTTGGGAACCATCCTTGGTTCAGGAACAGAACGCGGGTGAGGGAAGAGGCGGAAGGAAGAGCAGGGCCCATGCAGGCCCCACATAGAGCTGGGGAAGTGGATATACCAGAGCTTATACTAAATATCAGGAAGCCCCCAGAGAAAGGCAGAATGACCCAGGACGTTTTCTGCTCTTTTCCCCACTGGGCAATTTTGTTGACAAGAACAGACCTAGCTCCCGATTCCTCTGCGACAATGGAATACTGCCGCCTAGAGGCCATCATGATGTACTAAGTCTGAGGTATCTACCTCTATAGGCCAGGAACATCTTGTTAGGGCTATCGTCTTGTTTGTAGGTCTTTAACAAGCTGCCTTCTAGCTTCTGGGCTTGAGGCACGTCCAAGAACAGTGAAAGCGTGGACATCACTGAGATGAACGTAGAACCAAGACTATGAGTCCACTCCTGTGTTCTCTCTTGCTCCTGCCCGAAGCCTTCCGCTAAGCCTGAGCCACACAGGCCTGCCTCTTCCCAGAACCCTGGCAGCTCCAAGGCAGAAGCCACAGGCAACTGGTCACCAGAGCAACAGAACCCAACTCCCAGTCTCCGTGGTGGTGATCCTCAAAGACAATGGGAATGTTCTATGGCGCTTGAGGAGAATCTGCTGAAAGGTAGCTGGGCCAGGGAGTAGAGAGGACCCAGAATTCCCAGCAGTCCTCCCTAAACCATCGCCCTCTTTTCTCTGGCTCCAAGTTGCCCAATCCAAAATAACAAGCCAGCCCTTTATAAAGAAGACAAAGCGAGGCAGGCAGCCAATGAGCCAGCTGAGGGCCTCTCCAGCAGAAGCGCAAACCTCAGATCCAGCAGTATCTCAACCCTGCGAATCGAGGGCTACATTGAAAAAGCTTCTACTTTCATTTCGCTAAGGACTCCTGCTTTTAAAAGGAAAAGAAAGCAGTTTTCTTCCATAGGTTTTTTAAAAAAATATTTTATTTATTTTTAGTGAGAGGGGAAGGGAGAGAGAAAGAGAGGGAGCAAAACATACATTGGTTGCCTCTTGCTGGTCTCCAACTGGAGAGCTGGCCTACAACCCAGGTATGTGCTCCGGCAGGGAATTGAACCAGAGACCTTTTGGTCAGCAGGCAGGCACTCAGTCCACTAAACCACACCAGCTGGGGCTCTTCCATACTTATTTTATTTTATTTTAGATTTTATTTATTTATTTTTAGAGAGAGGAGAAGGAAGGGAGAAAGGGAGGGAGAGAAACATCAGTGTATGGTTGCTTCTCACGTGCCCCCTACTGGGGACCTGGCCCAGAACCCAGGCAAGTGCCCTGACTGGGAATCAAACTGGCCACCTTTTGGTTCTCAGGCCGGCACTCAGTCCACTAAGCCACATCAGCCAGGGCTCCATAGTTATTTTAATAAAGAGTCCTACGTTTAGGAACAGTACAACTTACAATTCAGTAAGCCAGCCTATTTCTCTCAGTTATCTAGAGTCGAGACTTCTACACTGTTAACTCCTTCAGTGGTGGCCAAGCAGCAAGTTAAAAGGCAAAGGTCAAGGGTGGAAAGAATCGGCCCCTGTAGGATGACTTGCATTTTGCTGTCTTTTTCTTTCATTTTTTAAAATAACTTCAGCTCTGTCTGGTGTGGCTCAGTGGATTGAGCACTAGCCTGCAAACAAAAGTGTCGTCAGTTCAGTTCCCAGTCAGGACACATGCCTGGGTTGCAGGCCATGTCCCCAGTAGGGGGTGCATGAGAGACAACCATATATTGATGTTTCTTTTCCTCTCATTCTCCCTCCCTTCCCCTCTCTCTAAAACTAAATAATAAAATAAAATCTTAAAAAAAAATAACTTCATATCCTTGGCTGGTGTGGTTTAGTGGATTGAGCGCTGGCCTACAAACCAAAAGGTCACTGGTTTAATTCCCAGTCAGAGCACATGCCTGGGTTGTGGGCCAGGTCCCCAGCTGGGGGTGTGTGAGAGGCAACCACACATGGATGTATCTCTCACACCCTGATGTTTCTTTCCCCCTCTTTCTCCCTCCCTCCCCTTCTCTCTAAGAATAAATAAATAAAATCTTTTAAAATTTTTTAAATAAAATGAAAGTCACTTCACAAATGGTTGCTGCTGACATTGTCGGGGTCTCACCCACATACCCTTTACCTGCCCTGCTGGTGGGATCAGCCTTATCTTCCAGATCTCCTTCTCTGGAGTATTGCCTTTGGCTGACAGGAGCCAACTCACCTACACGTTGCCTGGCAGCTCACAGCCCCACCAAGACGCGCAGCCAATGACTGCCTGATCTAGGTGCACAAAAGGCCAGCCCTTCGTCTTGGGTATCTCTGTGGCTCGATTTGTACTCCAGGGCCCATCCACCTATTCAGTCAAAACTTGACTTGGGACCTGGGACCCAGGACCACACCGTTGCATGGCCTCTTCCCCTTCACAGTTCTGCCTCCCTCCTGCCCTTGCAGGCCCCTCCTGCTGGGCACTCTCTCTGCAGATCGCGTACCCCACATGCCTTGCCCAGGCTGTGCTGTCAGGGAAGCTGCCTTGAGACAAAGGATTATGACAGTGATTCCCATTGTTGTTGAAAACTTTAGAACTTCAAAAAACTATAACAAAGAACACAGATGTCCTACAATCAATCCATAATCACAGTTAACATTTTTGTGTACCCCTTTCCGGTTTTTTATTTTTATTTGGGAGGGGGGTTTAAAAGCCACTTTCTAGCTTTAATTACAATTTTATAATGATGCTTTAAAATTTCTAGTCAGATAAACAAGCTTATGGATTCAGGGGACATCCCCTTTTGAAATTATTTCAGTAAAATTAAAAAGAACATTTTTAACACTAAATACATGTTGGTGAAGCGGTTGCTTATGTACTCTTCTTTTGAGGATGTTGAAATTTCCTGGTTTTTTTTTATGTTTTTCCCTTTCTTTTGTTTTTTCTTTTGGCTGACCTGTTTCTCCCACTCTTTAATCAATTTTTTCACTTATCTTGAATTTGGGTTTAGACATGTTTGATCCCCACTCTTCATTATAAGCAAGGATTTCAGTGTTATCTCAAGAAGGGCTGGGGGAAAACTAAGGTCCTGTAAGGATTTAAAGTGGCTCATGCCTTGGTCGGTGTCGATGCAGGAACAGCATCCATTCACCATCGTTGGAGACCCTACACAGGCTCACTACCTCTGGGCTCCAGGGACAGGGTGGCGGCTTGAGGGGCGCTAGCGATGTACAGAGGGAGGCTGGGGTATCTGGCATCAAGGCAAGCAGAGGCCATTGTTCCTTTTCTGGAGCCTCCCCCTACAGAGTTGGCAAACTGGTGCCATATCTGAGATTCCACCCACCTCCCCCTTTCTTATTTTTGAAAAATGATGTTTATTTTTTAAGATAAGTGATATCAAATTTACATGTCATTTTCATCATATTCTCTTCACATTTCACTTGTGAGAATTTTAAGACGTGTGCCATTGAGAGCTCTTTATACTGCAAGTAATTTAACAGGCCCAACTCCCACTGACTGGAGCTGGAGAGAGAATTTATTGGCTCTGTCCCTGGGCGGGCCCAGGTACATCTGACTTCATTCCCAGTCCAACCCAATGTGTCACAGCGTCATCATGGCTCCGGCTTCCTTCTCTCTGTTCCCCTTGGCTCTGCTCCTCTGGATGCTTCCGCTTTGGTCTCTGGCTGACTCTGGGCATGGAGCAAAAGCAAGTGTCGCATATGTGGATAATGATAGGCATTTGAGAAATTTTCTTTGCAACTTATGAGCAAATAAACTAAATGTCAGTCGCTGAAGGAATGCTTAAATTAATAATGGACTATCTATAAAATGGAATTCTGTGCCTCTGTTAAAGGCAGACCGATGTGTATAACCGTGGAAAATCTCCAAGATACATCATTAAGTAAAAACAAGGGAGGTAGAGAATAGACAGTAAAGAGGGGAACATTTGCAGGGGGGATAAAAGATACAGTTGAGCGCGCATGCTTGTATATGCACAGAGAATCTGTGGAAGGACACGCAGAAGCACAGAACAGTGATTTCCTCTGGAAAGTGGAGCTGGGTAGCAGTTGGGTATGACAGAGAAGAAGGCTGGCCTGCTTTTCTCTGTATACTGCTTCCTACCTTTGGGATGTTAAACCACATGCATAGACTTCCCATTCAAAAACAATCTTTATGTTTTTTAAAAAATGGCTGTAGCCTTTCCAGACAGTACATCCTTATCCAGAGGAAGACAGAGCATCTCTTGTCTTTGCTCCCTGGAAGAACAAGGAAGTTTCCTTTCCTGGAGCCCCAAGCCTTCCTTCTCCTTTCTTTTGGCTGCAGTGACTCGCTGGCCCATCCCTGACCTTATCATGGCACATCCCGGACCTTATCGTGGATGGATACTCTGGTGAGTGTAACCCAGCTGAGTGTAACTGCAGCTGAGGGTGGTGTCCATCCTTCCCAAGACACACAGTCAGGAATGGAACTTGGATTCCTGAGTCCTGACTCACAGTGTTTGCTCTGAGAAGGGGAAGGTGGTTCAAGCCAGGCCTATTGGAGAAGAGCCTTTCATTACTCCCTAGTGCTGCAGGGATAAGGAAATGATCCTACCTGAGGCTTCCTGCAGTTACTGGCCCCTGACATGGAGGGAACCCCCCAAACTGATGCCAGCTGCCTGAAGAGAGAAGCTGGAAAGAACATTAGTTGAATCAAGCCTTTAATTCCTGCCAGTATCAGTTTGAGTTCTTGGTTGTGAGCCACAGAAACTGCCTCGCTGATTGAAGCGTAGGAGGGATTTGGTGAAAGGATATCTGGTAGCTCACATCATTGACAAGGAAGCGGGAGATTTGGGAGCAGAAGGGAGCGGGTAAGGATCCCACTTCTGAACAACAGACGACGCTGGGACCGGCTCCACCCTTACGTTCCTCTGTTGGCTCTAATGCAACTACATGTCTGACACACAGGACTTTGGTGCCACAGCTGCTATGTCCCACTGTGGTCCTTTCTAACTTCACCTGCCGGGTGCTTAGTTGGGAAAATCTGTGTCTGATTGGCTGAACCTGCTCATGTGACCTCCTGGCTCCTCCCTGTGCTCTAACTAAGGGTTGGTAGGACTGAGGATCTCACCATCTCAGCTTCAATTGTGATGGGTGAGCCCTGTCTCCCACCAAGACTCAGAAAACGGAGAATTCTCCAAAGGCTACAAAGAGGTCCACAGCCCCCCAAAAGGACAAATTTTCACAATTATATCACACCTTTCTCTTTCCCCTCCCAGCGGACTCATCTACTGCTGGTACTTCTTATTTCATGGAGACAACAACAGCAATTGAAAGAGACTTCCACGTGCTCCCATTGTAATTACCAATCTGCTTACACGGGTACCCACACGCTCAGTCTTTTCTCTTAGTACAGTGTTTGCGCTCACCTC